ATCTAGTAGCTGGTTCCGTCCGAAGTTTCCCTCAGGATAGCTGGCATTCAATTTTCACAGTTATATCCGGTAAAGCGAATGTTTAGAGGCATTGGGTGTAAAATACGCTCAACCTATTGACTTTTGTTTGCTATGATTGATTGCGAAAGGAAGGCTGGTAGTCTATTTCTTCTGAGTTCGGCGTCAGTTCGAACAGGTGCTTACCTTTGAAGTCGAAATACTGAATGGAAACTGGTCCGACCACTGCTTGAATCGATTAGTATGACTGAGCTTCGTCCGGAAAGCTACATCAGTAGTCGACCACGTACGCCCCGGGGAGGTGAAAGGCATGTCGGTTCTTATACGGCTCTTAGAAGTATATGCAATATATGCCAATGAGATATACGGTAAGTAAGTCATGAAAAGTAACCTTGCGAATAGCTCTAAGTCTAGTTGGTGTCTGCAACTCCTCTAGATTAAACTGAATACGCACTTCCAATGAACACACGTCAAAAAGTTCGAGAAACTACAACTCGGCACGCGCATTCAGATTCGAACACGATTGACAATGATTCTCCAACCCGGTCAACTAACGATCCTCGAGTGACTACATATACGGTTGAGTATCCAATAACTAAACGCGCTTGTCTTATTTGCAGAGAGACACTGTCAGACCTTAACCTGGAAATCCGGGAACATGTAAACGATGTACATAATGTCTATGACATTAAATATCAATGTACGATCTGCGACAAAACGTACGATTCCATTAGTAGTATGAAATCACACTATCCAGCCTGTAGAAGAAAACAAACCAACGTTATACCTACAGTCACGAAAAGGCCATTACCATCCAACAAGAAAACTTCTACTACTAATGATGCGCAGGCGGCTGGCATCTCTGACCTACAATGTCTAGCCTGTCACAAAGATAACATCAGTTTTGTTGCTAAAGATAAAAAGAGTCTCACATCTCATATGCGGGCAAAACATCCCGAAACATATGAAAACTCAAAAAAAGTTGCAAACATCCGTGTTGCTTGGAGTAAAGATGAAGACATCTTATTGGCCAACCTTGAGCTTGAATTGAAATCGATCCAGAAAGGTCAAATCTTAGATCGACTATGCTCTGAATGGAACAAAAAGGTTGAGAAATCACATGCCAATTTCCGCTCCAAAGATGCAATCCGTACTCGCAGACAACAAGCTGCATACAAGGCAACTCTGCACGATATCCAGACACGTATGCAAACTACCATACAAAATAAGAAAAAGGATGATGTGTCTGATGACGATCAAACTTCTAGTGAGTCAGAAGACGACGCTGAAGTACATAATGCAACTACAAGTAATAATGATAATAACAGGAGCGATGAGGATGATGTGAGTACCATTAAAAATCTACTACGAGAGCTACTAAGTAGGAATGGAAACAAACTGTCCGCCTACATGAGTGAAGCGATTCAAACCTTCTTGAATCCAAATCAGGCCACTGACGCAGTACAACTAACGATGCTCGGAATCAATCATGCAATCACCAACATCAGGAATAGAAGTACTAAAAATTCCAGTAGCCGTCAAGGAGACAAGAACATGCTTGCTACGAATAAGAAACTGGCTCGGAATCCATCTCGCATAAGAAAGGCAAACGAAAGGGCTTACTATCAACATCTGTATAAGCATAATAAGTCCAGGCTCATGGATGAATTAATCAATGGGGTGCCTCCGAACAGTGAGCCGCCACCTATCCATGATGCTGTCCAATTTTATGAACAAATGTGGTCCACGTGCACACACGACCAACATGGTGTTGAAGTCAAAATTCAATCTAACAATAACGACTATCAACTGTTGTCGCCTATCACAAAGATCGATATTGCAAATGCAATTAAAAGGACCAAGCGAGAAACAGCCAAAGGAGTCGATATGATAACCCTGCAAGAGGCAAAACAACTAGCTGAGGATGAACTATTGATAGCGTTCAACATATGGTTGGGGAGTAAACAAATTCCAAAGGAATTGAAGCTAAATCGCACTACCCTCATTCCAAAAGGGAACCAAGATCTGGACAAGATCACAAATTGGAGACCTATAACTATCTCTTCAGTGCTTCTTCGCTTATACAATAAAATAATTGGGTATCGAATGAATAAGTTCTTTGAAATCGACAAACGACAAATGGGTTTTACACCCATAAATGGATGTAGCCTCAACATACTATGGTTGCACCATCTCTTGAAGCATGCACGTTTAAACAAAAGAGAAATTAATGTTTGTCTGATAGACGTAGCTAAAGCTTTTGACTCAGTTCCTCATGAAAGCATCTTCAGAGCTCTCAAAAGGCATAAAGCACCACTCTCTTTCATAGAAATGGTACGCAATCAATATACTGATAGTTTCACCTCCATAACATATAAAGACCTATGTTCGAAAAAAATTCGCATTACACGAGGTGTTAAACAAGGCGACTCGCTATCGCCGTTACTCTTTAATCTTGTAACGGACGAACTATTTGAAATTCTGGGAGATCAGCTAGGATATCAAATAAATAATATTGGTTCAACGAATATTAAATGTTTTGCTGACGATATTTGTCTCGTATCAGGCACAAAAATCGGCATGGGACACATGATCACGGAATCAATTAAATTCCTGAATGAACGGGGTCTACAAGTAAATGCCAAAAAATGCATGTCTATTGCTCTCGAAAAAGGGTACAAGGGCAAAAAAAGCAAAATAGTAACCGAATCCGTGTTCAGCACTAACGATACACCGATTCCGATCTTAGGCTTCATAGACAATCATACGAAATATCTTGGCATTAAATTTACTTCAGTAGGAGTAATCAAGGCGGACATAATCAAGGACGAGATACGAAGTACCCTTGCAAAATTGCAAAAAGTATCGCTGAAACCTCAACAAAAGATTGATCTCCTACGTTCTCATGTCATCCCCTTATATGTATACCAGCTGACAAATCTTGAACTATATCCTAAGCTATTAAAACAAATCGATCTCATTATAAGACGTACCGTAAGAACCATACTTCACCTTCCAATTAGTTTGAGTACAGAATTCTTCTACCTTCCGATTAAGGAAGGCGGGTTACAATTGCCACTGATGAGAGACAACATCGGAATGGCTAAAGTCCGTATATATAAGACAATTATGAGATCGGACGATGCAGTGCTCAAGTACCTAATGGAAAACCAAGGGTTTCCGATCATACATAGATTCACGGACGAATTAAAACTTGACAGTTCGTTTGAATCGGACGATATCAAACAACGAAAGATCGAAATCCAAAAAGAGAGAAGGGTATCTTTTGCGAATAAAGTCCATGGATACGGCTCCGAAGTCTTCGCGACTTGTCCACTAACTAATTTTTGGCTATATGGAGACTGTAAAACACTGTCCGGTAGGACGTATATCAATGGTATAAAACTAAGGACAAACACCCTGGAGACCAGGGTGACGACTACGAGAGGTTTGCAAGTCGATAAGAAATGTCGAAGATGCCAAACGGAAAATGAAAGCATCATGCATATATTACAATATTGTAAATCAACCAAAGGGTTAAGGTACAGAAGACACAATGCAACTTGCGCAAAAGTGGTGGCCAAACTGAGAGAAAGAGGGTTCATAGTGCATGTAGAGAAAGCCTTCACATCCGACATAACGGGCTTACCCACGACACTGAGACCGGACATAATTGCTGTAAAAGAGGGTAAGGCGTACGTCATCGACATACAAAATGTGTATGAATCTTCTGGTGCGTCCTTCATTAATGCGTCCTCAATGAAAACTCAAAAATATACACCTCTTATTCAATTCATCAAGCAGAGACATCAATGTTCCGAAGTTCTATTCAAAATGTTGATTGTGGGCTCAAGAGGATCCTTCCATCATGGTCATCTTAACATCTGGCAAGAGTTCGGCTTTACATCTACCGAACTCAGATACTTAGCTCTGAACTGTATGGAAAACTCCCTTAGGATTGTGTATTCGTTTTATAACAGCTTACAAGAATTCAACAATCAATAACTACTTGGGCAAGAACAGGACATATCATCTGTTAGTTCTCTTGTAACTGTTTGAGTTATTTTCTTTTCTTTTTTCCTGTGAGGTGAACAAGGCTGAACACCTTATATTCCGTTATGAGCAAGATATTATAATGACGATTCCTTCTGATTACATATCCCAACCATGATGGAATATACTATGATCATACTTTGTTCACTTTTTTCTTGCATGTTTATGTTGTCAAGTTCTTTTCTGTATCAATCTGTTCCGTTTCATGTGTGTGTTATTTTTTTATCAGTTTTTTTTTAGAAAAAATTGAAATAAATAGGAACTAGCTGGTTCCGTCCGAAGTTTCCCTCAGGATAGCTGGCATTCAATTTTCACAGTTATATCCGGTAAAGCGAATGTTTAGAGGCATTGGGTGTAAAATACGCTCAACNATCTAATTAGTGACGCGCATGAGGGGGATGATGAGCACTACTGACCTCTCACCTCCATTGGCTGCAACGCAGCGGTCTGGTCTACAACTCCGCAACAGGAAGGTAGCCTGGCCAACGGTTGTTTCTCCGGGAGCAGGACCAACAGCTGACGATGGTGTCTCAACCGACAAAGGCGAAAAGAACGTTACTGTTGGCGTTCAAGCCGTCACTCCTCTTACTCAACAGTCCGAAATAAGTTCTTCGGGACGAATTAAAGGACCGAGTAGAGGCGCCTCTGCTTGTCAGAGAAAGATAGGATTGTCCTGGAAGGGCAAGGAAGAGGAAGAGCTTCGGAGGTTGGTCGGTATTTATACCGGGCAGACCGGGATCATCTCCTGGTCGAAAATCGAAGAAGCTTGGAATCAGTTAGCGGACGTCTCCGTAAGGAGCAAAAGTAGCCTTAGTAGTAAGTGGCGGGACTTAAGATCTAAACCCCACTTGCTAGGTTCGAGTGGAGCTCGAGACGACTCAACTGTGGGCGTCTCGGCCACAATAGAAGCAGATCTCGTAAGATCGAATTCACCTGTTGACCCGCCAAGTAGTACCGTTGTTGCAGATACCCGTGAAGAAAAATCGGGTAGCAAAAGAGGAAAGAAGAAAAACAGCAACAACAGAAGAAACGGATCGCCCCCTGTCAATGTAAATATTGTAAATAATAATAATAATAATAATAATTTTATTAATAACAATGATGGCAGCGGCAGCGACAAGGATGAGGGTGAAGGAGGCGAGAAAACAGAAATCGTTTTACCAGAGATTTCAGAAGATGACATACAACCAGATCTCGGAGCCTTATTTATCAGAAATTTGAAAAAGGCAAGAAAAGAAGGTTGTGATGGATTCCGAAAATCGTTGAAAAAGGTAAATATAAAAAGCACTGACCCCTTAATGAATAAAGTAGATAGGCTCATTAAGGAAGACTTTGTACAGAGGAAGATCGATAAACCAACATGGAACCAACTATCTATTGGAGTGTATGCTGGCGCAATGACAGTAGAAATGGTGGCCAATCGATCGACCGTTGAAATACAAAGAAGAACAGCAAATTGGTTTAAAGCAACATCCATGGAAATGGACAAATTACGGAAAACCATTGGAAAAGCTACAGCTGAACTTGGAAGAAGGAAAAGCAATGTGGAATTAGCACCGACACCCAGGCAAGTTTCTAACATCAGACTACTTGAGAAAAGGTATCGTTGTTCCTCGAATGACGATATTAATTCACTTGTAGAGAGACTTAAGCACCGGCTCCGACTATTATCGGAACGAATAGAACTTAGAAAGGCGGATGAGAACCGAATTAAGATCAGGCGCTCTCCCCCTAAGATGATATTCATAGATAATAGTGGTGAAGAAAACACCGATACCACAGATATTCACAAAATCCGTAGGTATTGGAAAAACATCGTAGGTGTGAAAAAGGACTTCCAAGCACATGATCAGCACTTAACGGATTGGAAACAATCTATATCCAAAGTTTCTGAAGGTGGACGCATAGGAGATGATCTCACGACGGAAATGTGGCAAGAGGTCATTAGGAATTTAAAGCCCTGGAAGGCCAGTGGACCAGATGGGATACAAGGTTTCTGGTGGAAGTCATTCCCCAGTGCCAATAACTATCTGTACAAGCTGGTATATCACCACCTCACAACAGGAACTCCCCTACCACAAGGGTGGATAGCCAATGGTCGAACAGTCCTACTATATAAGGCAGGTTCCAGAGAAGATCCGTCAAATTTCAGACCCATCACCTGTCTGAACACCTGCTACAAGATTCTCACGGGATACATAGCTATATACCTGAGCCGGTATATAAATGAGCGCAATATACTGCCGATTGAGCAGAGAGCATTGCAAAAGAATGTTTGGGGCTGCACACACGCACTCATAGTTGATCAGACAGTGGTTGCTGACGCATTCTATCAAAAGCAGAGACCACTTAGTGTCGCATGGATTGACTATGCAAAGGCATTCGACTCCGTACCGCACAAGTACATACTCTGGGTACTTGAAGCAATGCAAGTTCCTTCCCCGTTGAGAGCTCTGATAAAGAGTTTGATGTCGCAATGGAGAGTAAAATACGAGGTTAAAGCAAAACGCGGCAAGTGTATTCGAAGCCAGTTTTTAAAGATTAAATCTGGAGTCCTACAGGGCGACAGCTTTAGTCCACTCTTGTTTTGTTTGAGCATGGCTCCGTTAAGTCATGCCCTCAATCATCTTGGTCTTCGATACGAAACGGCCTGCGGAAGAAAAGAAAACCTCACACTATCTCTCTCGCATCAATTTTACATGGATGACTTGAAGCTGTATGCCAGCTCAAGGGAAAACCTGAAAAAATTGCTGAACGTAGTAAAGGCAGTATCAAAAGCCATAAGCATGAAGATCAACGCGCAAAAGTGTGCCACAGCACATTTTGTACCTAAATGGCTGAAGAACAGCAACAAGGTAAGTACAACCACGGATGATGGTGACATACCAACGCTAGATGGAGGAAGCCACTACAAATATTTAGGTATTGATCAAAACATGCAAGAAAAAGGTGACGTCTCGTGGGATCGTGTAGCGAAAAAGTGCCTGCAAAAGTGCAAACGCCTGTGGACCTCCGATCTCACATACAGACAAAAAGTAGTAGTATACAACACTACCATAATACCAGCATTAACATACGTCAGTGCAAATCTTATCAAAGTTAGCGGGAAATATGAATCCCAATTAGCTAAAGGAGAGAGCTTTGATAAAGATATAAGAAAGATGCTCGTGACTGAAAAAGCTAGATATAAAGCTAACTCAGTAAGTAGGTTATACCTCTCAGCGGACAAAGGTGGTTGCAATCTCAAATCCATCAGAGATTCAGTAGAAGAAACAACCATCTACACCTGGGCATACCTATGCACTAGAGCAGACTTGAAGCCGTCGCTGAACCTCTTTGGGAAGATGGCTAACAGATCGAAACGAAGTATAGTGAGTGATGCGAGAAGCGTACTGAAGTCATATGGCATATCGGCTAAGGAAGACTTGGAAACGTCTACAGTCTCTGTAGATGGAGTACAATTCAACAAGGCCAAAAAGCTAGCGCAACATGTAGTGGCAAAAATGAGGGATGTCAATAACATCAGACGTCTCGAGGAATGGAAGAACTTGAAGCTAGCAGGGCGTACCCTCAGGACAGAGGTAGATATCGACTTCGCCGTATCGTACCTTTGGTTGAAAGAAGGTCGCCTATCGTCGGTCGGAGTACGGAATGCCCTCGCAGTGCAAGAAGGGTGCTTGTTAACAAAAACGCACCCGGCCTGTGGGGGACAGAATAGCAGCCTCAACTGCAGAAAGTGTAATAGCAAAGAGGAATCGATAGAGCATGTAACGTCCTCATGTCCGAAATGGCTATGCACACTATATATTGACCGACACGACTCAGTAGCAAGAAATATATACTACATACTATGTAGAAAATATGATATACAACCGCCGCACTATACGCAGAGCGTTAGTTCTGTAAAAGAAACCGAATACGTTAAACTGTACTGGAATCAGCCCGTGATGACACGCACCATCATCCGCCACAATAAACCAGATATAGTCGTATTCGATAAGGTGAAAAGAACTGCTGTGATATTCGAAGTAGCAGTGTCTTGGTTCACAGGCCTACAAAGGCAGGTCGACATTAAAGTAAACCGATACTCAGTCAATGGCAACTGGGACCAGGAGCTTGCAACACCCTACCCCAGAGGGGCTAATCTCGTCACCGAGCTTACCACTCTGGGATGGAATGTAACTTTTGTACCAGTAGTTATTGGAGTTACCGGCGAAACACTCTCCTCTCTCATACAAAACCTACAAAGTAGCCTCCAGATCAATAAGAGTTCTGCCCTAAAACTGGTTGAGCGTCTCCAGAGGAGCGCAGTTTTGGGAACTAGTCGGATTGTGAAAAACCATCTGAGCACCTAAGGAAAGGCATCCTATCTTGCAGAATATGGAACATCTGAATGGACTTCGGTTTAACCGGAGCCACTTCATCGGGCCCGCAACCTACACTCGAAGAATTTCTTGTGTCAGTAGTCAATAACCGCGGTTATTGGCGTCTCTGCTGACATTATCTATGTTGATAGTGAGCGAAGTAGAGGCTGTTGCTAATCCACTCTGGTGACGGAGTGGAAGATAAATAGTGACGCGCATGAATGGATTAACGAGATTCCCACTGTCCCTGTCTACTATCTAGCGAAAC